ATATATATATATATGTATATGTATATGTGTGTGTGTGACAAAATTTTCATTTGTACTTTACTGCCAGTAAAAGTTGAGATAATTGAGACATTAAAATACAAATGTTCGTTAAACAAGAGAGGAGTACTTTGAAAAACTTCTTCATATTCAAACAGGACCATCACTTGATCTACAAAGTACCTATCATGCTAATATCCTTTGAATAAAGCTCCATAGACTTTCCACATGGCCAAGGGCCCAAACATGTTAAAGCACCTTAAAGAATGTGAAGTGAAAACATTTAAGTTTTCTTTTCCTCTTATTGATTGAAGCCTCCACGGTATCTCATTGAAGTATATGAGCCTAGATTAGAAGGAAACCATATAATTACATACAAGTAGCATAGGATCCATCACAAGTTTCATATAGGAATTACAAAAGGCTTTACCATTAAGATCTTTGAGAAAGAAGATTTTGGTGTGACACAGCTAAAGCCCAGTAGTATCATGACATAAAGTGAAGAAAGGTAACAGAAATTTTTTGGCATGTTTGCTGTCTAAGAGCTTTATTAGTTGGCCTCTTATCACTATAGCTTGCTTGCAACGCCAGAACAATGTGGATAAACAACAACATTAAGTTCACTTGCAGAAGTTCATACGAAAACTATATGTGCAGAATAAATTTCCAAACTTTTCCCACTGACACCTAACCTCACCATCCCACTTCTTATATTGTCACCTATATGAAAATATCTTTAGCCAAATCAGAAATGACATTTTGACCTCTTTTCTCTTTAGTCGATAATCCGACCAGAACCAAGACAATGAGCTCAATAGCATATCCAATTTCCAGAGATTTCTAAATCAATAACATGATCGTATGGATACTATAGGAAACCTCTATGATGAAAATTAAGGTCTATAGTCTATGAACAAGAATTGCAACAAAAGAACAAGTAATGAGAATTATTTCAAAATTTCTGTAGTACAGGCTACATATAACAAGACTCTACTGGGAGCCCAGCAATAGACCAATTACTCATACAAACAACATTACAAATCATGTAAAAGTTACATATAAGTCTACGTGAATTTGTCCCACATTAAATAAGGGAAGATCCATTATCAGGTGAGATAGATGAGCAATAAGAACAATTATCATACCTGACATGGCCGAACTTGGCAGCACATGTTGTAACCTCGAACCTTGAAAGCTATGTCTTCTCTCCTCTCCTAAGACAACAGAGTTCTGGCCATTCAGAATGCTATCTCCTCTCAAAGCACCCAGTGGATCAGTCCTTGTAGTTTCAAGAGCTTTCCAGCTCATTCTTGCTTCACCTACGCTCTTAACCGGTGGGTTCATGTCCTTGTCCTCCCCAAGGTCGGAGAGGAGGTGATCCTTGAGAGACCAAAGGCAGTATACTACCGAAGAGACAGGTCCCTGCATGCCACACTTAATTCACCAGCTGAGGAGTAACACCGACACCAATTTCTTGGTAAAGATATGATTCTCTACCCGGTTACCTGTTCCAGATCGGATACATTGAAGCCCGGCAATCCCATCTGCTCTACAGCTGAAATAAACCTCCTTATGTTTTCCGATCTGCTTTCGGACCTCGATGCATAAGTTTCATTCCTGATCTGCAACCGAAGTTCAAATCAGGACTAAAAAGAGAATCCCCCATTAAGACCAAACGTCAAACAGCTACAAGTATAATTGTCAGTAGTTCAACCTCCTCCGAGTAGCCAGGACTGAACCTCCTCATGATGCCGCACAAGAGAGCTCCGTCGGACAACCGAGCTCGGAGTTCCTCCTCGGACGCTTCGAGCGGCATGTTAAGGCCGGGGAACAAACCGTTCAGCCATTCAATCACTTCCGACCGCCTCTTAGCTGATCAATTCCAAGATCTAAGAAAGAAAGAAATGCTAAAAAGAACAACATGAAGATTCAAAACGCGAGATGCAGGTCTCGCCTGTCTCGGCGTCGATGTTTAGACCAGCCATCCCTTGTCGCGCCCAGTCTTCGCCCCGACAGCTCGCCGGGCTGTCCCCGTTCGGCATCTCGAGCAAGGCACCGAGCTTCATGGTGACCGGACGACTCGACGCCACTGTCGGAAAGGAGAGCGGGGGTGACGCAGCAACAAGGGACAAGGGCAGGGCATCGCTTGCAGGAGTTCTTGAAGCCGCGAAACCTTTCCGAGCTTTGAGGCTGGCACGTTCCTCCTCCAATTATTTCTCCTTTTCTTTCAGATGCAATCCATGGCATCTGCCTCCTTTTACGTGACGTCTGCCGTTGTTCGTGCCAACGGCAACACAGCGATCAATGCCGCCATGATGGCAGTTGATTAGCTATGACTGGCATGCACGTTCTGGAGTGAGTGACGGAACGTCTTCCTCCCGACTCGCGCCCTGTGAGGAGCATTTGGAAGGAACTCTGCAGCACCATTGCTAGCTACAATCTGCCATTAAAGCCCCATCGATGATATCGGAAGAGGAGGCCGAGAGTGGTAAATCGGTGCCATGTTCATCTTCTTCGAATTAATGTCCCCTGAAATAATAGCTTGATTTGTGATCGAGTCAATCTCCTAAACTCGAACCCGACCGATTTATCGATCGGGTTATTTGAGTCAACCCGTTTGAGCCGATCACATCTTATGTTTGATCGGTGGGAATATATCTTACTGGGTCTAATTATTATATGGGCCTGCGTCTAATTATCGTTGGGATCATGCGGTCTTCTCCATGGAAAAGATGAACAAGAAAGGAAGAGTGGATGATTAGCGTAGTAATAATACGTGGGAAGCATTCTCGGTTGATGCGGCTGTAGAACTGCTCTACTCGCTGGGGTCAATCGAAGAGGATAAGGTTTCGATTGGAGAGGACGAATCCTGCTGGTTCATCTCACTAAAAACAATGTCGGTGTGAATGAGTTTAACGAGTCAGTCGATAACTTGAGGTTGTATTCCATTAAGAAATAAGACGGCAAGTTACTCACGTCGAAATAATGAAGAAAAATAAGTCTGCTGCTCGATCTTTCACACTGTTTTTGTCTGTTGCTAACTTTGCCGGGCCAACATATTATCCTCCGCGACTCTTTGCCTATATTAATTCCACCCACCACCGTGCTGCAGAATTCCTCAAGTCCCAATTCTTGCATTCATCACTTGCCACCCTACGGGAATATGGCAATAGTTTACTTCGTTCTGTCACCTCTTTTCTTCTCTTTTTCAGGTCTCTCTCTCTCTCTCTCGCGATTTCCTTGTCTTGTTTATTTGATTTCATGGGTGTGCTGTGATTCCCCTGTTATCGATTCTGTGTTCGTCACGCTTCCTACTCTGTTTTCAGGGGCTCTTGCGGCTACGTTTACGCTGGCAAATAACTGCGAGTACACCGTATGGCCCGGCGTGCTCTCGAGCGCTGGCACGGCGGCGCTGCCAACGACGGGCTTCGCGCTGCAGAAGGGCGAGACGCGGAGCCTCGACGCGCCCGCCGCGTGGTCGGGCCGATTCTGGGGCCGCACTCACTGTGCCACTGACTCGAGCGGCAAGTTCAGCTGCGCAACCGGCGACTGCGGGTCTGGCTCGGTGGAGTGCTCCGGCGCCGGCGCGGCACCCCCGGCGACCCTGGCGGAGTTCACGCTCGACGGCAGCGGCGGGATGGACTTCTACGACGTGAGTCTGGTGGACGGCTACAACCTGCCGGTGCTGGTGGTGCCGCAGGGCGGCTCCGGCGGGGGATGCAGCTCCACCGGCTGTCCGGTGGACCTCAACGGGGTGTGCCCGTCGGACCTCAAGGTGGTGCTGTCGACCTCGGACGGCGGCAGTGAGAGCGTCGCGTGCAAGAGCGCGTGCGAGGCGTTCGGATCGCCCCAGTATTGCTGCAGCGGCGACTACGGGAGCCCCAACACGTGCAAGCCGTCGTCCTACTCCCAGTTCTTCAAGAACGCCTGCCCCAGGGCTTACAGCTACGCCTACGACGACGCCACCTCTACGTTCACCTGCGCATCCGCCAACTACCTTATCATGTTCTGCCCCAGCACCACAAGGTACGTAGCTAATTATCAACTCCTTGTCTTCGTTTCTACGGGTCAATCGAATCATTTTAGATGCGTGTGGATGTCCAAACGAGCGGAGGCGAACGCGGCAAGCATGGCGCATGCGCTGGGCTCGCCAAGCTGCTCCGTGACGTCTTTGACTCATGGCATGCTCTGGCTTGCTTGCAACTTCACGTTTAACTTTTGCGGCTGTAGACGTCAGATCCGTTGGATTTAGGTCACTGAACAGGAAAACATGTCGTCGTCAGGCCGGCGGTGGATACCACACCAGCTTCTCTGACCTTAGTCCGTTCAGACGTCAATCTGTTCCTTTCTGTGCAGCTGCCTCCCCGTTGTCGTCATTTAACTATTGCCTATGCCATATATCTTGAATGCGATCTTTAATCTTTGACAGCCAGAAGAAGTCCTCGGACTCGAATTCGGACGCAGCAAGCATGCCGCTGAGCAATGACACGATGGTCTACGTGGGGGGCGAGCAAGTGAGCCACGCCGCGCCAACCCTGCCGCACATGGCGGCCATGCTTCTTCCCATCTCCCTCGCTGTCCTCACCTTACGTCTCGGCTTTTAGCGCGGCCGCGCGGAGGCCACGCCGTGCGCACCGCAAATTCTACGCCGGCCGTTCGGTGCGCCTACTACAACGGAGCAACAGAGGGTGGTGGGAGAGACGTTGCTCTCGGGGCCCTACCTTGCACCTCTCATGGCCTGTCCTTTTCGTCATGAACAATGACGATGAACATGAACGGTTTTGTCAGGCTGACAAGGATCTGACGAAGAACGAAAAGAACTTCTGCTGCGAAGTCCATAAGTTGGCTTGAATTTTTCACATGGAAGACGATGTGATTTATCGCAGGAGCTGATCTGTGGATTCTTATTTCCGGATTATTGCTCATCAGGTGTGTCTCGAGTGACATCGACATCACGCTGAGAGAAATATAAGCGTGGGTGTTAAGCTTATTCTTTTGTTTGCTCCGTTTGATCATTCACACAGGTCTACATTGTTTCACATTGTCTCGTGACCTTTCCTAGGGTTCATGTCGCTCTCCTCTCACAACAAAGGATAATGTTATTTAAGTTGGAGAATGAAAAGAATCCATAAGCCAAGAATGCACGCATCTCATTGTTGACGTATATTTTGGTTTGTGTGCAGCATCTCCCTACGTTGAAAGGAAAGTGATTTCACTTGCACCTTAGGGTTCTTGAAGCTTTCTATATCTTTATTTGCCAAAGGATAAATCTCTTCCCTTCTACAAGAACACGAGCTTTCACTTATCACGAACAATCTCGTATTTAATGAGTAATTGTTATGTCAAAAGAAAAACTAAGTTTCCTTTAAATCAAGATTAAACAACGATTATCAATTCGACAGAAATATTGCAGGAAAACTTGATTGACGTGAAAAGAATTAAATAAAAACAATTATTTAAAAGCCTTCCACTTAATCATTGACATCGACTATTATCATCATGCACGTCATTGTACCTTCACCACTTGGGATTTCCAACAGCCGTCGAGTCAAAGGTCTAAAATTTGACATGCTGTGAAGTGATCGATGCAGTGCTTAAGCTGATACACAAAAACTCTGAAACACACAAATCCGTATGCTTAGTAGAACTCGATTATTAGATGCAGTGGTGTTCTTCCCAAGCATATGTTTTTCCTGATCGAGAGCAATTTCTGGGACAAAGAGGAAGAAATATATCGATCATAATAGGACAGATCAAGATTCATGCAATCTTTCGTGAGAGCTAAAACACAAAGCTCATGGAGAACATACATGACTTAACAAGAGTAGAGTAACATGCATATACCATGGTAGCGTACTCCGAGAAGAAGACAGTAACAGTGAAGTATTCTGACTGGGGAAATCGAGCATCCAACCCTTTATTGGAGGTGACGGGGAGAGAGAATTCTTTCTTATGTGTCTGCTTTCCGAGGGTTTGTGCCTGTTATATATCTTTGACTGGAGATCTTGTAACCTAAACTTCCATACCTGTTCTCGCTTTTGAGATAGATCAAGCTCTTGTTTTCTCCTCGTTTAGTGGAGCAATCCACTTCTCCATGGCATATTTATGTGCATACATAAATCAATACTTGTAACATCATGCCTGTCCCACAGATCTTATGTGCAATGTTTCTGGATGAAGATTAGCACCTTGTCCATGTTCACCTCCATAAGCCAACCCCTCTTCCCCTCAGGTCAGCTCCCACTTCAATTTTTTGACAGTGGTTTCTCTGAAAAAAGAAAGAAAAAAAAGCAAGATGGAAAAAGGAGACAGAGTTGACAAAGATCGAACACAAAAGCAGAAGCCAATTTGCACGCCTCGTCTCTTCTTTCCAAGAGTGAATGGGAACTGTCTTAGTCTATCTAATGTCGATATCGCCATCTTTTTCATGTGTTGTTTATTGAGGAATGCACCAAAACAAGGAACAAAGTAGCATAAGCAACTTGAGATTTCTCGATCCATTGTTCAAGGCCACTGCACAATCGTACAGAGGGCAAACTTGTATGTTCTGTGCATCCATCTACTCCATCTGAACTAAAGAATTCATTAGCATGAGGAAATGAAGATTCCATGGACAGATTGCGGCTTGTGAGCTCTACGTGAAAGGTATCTATCTATATATAATATTTGGAGTGGATACGTTGTTGTCAAAACGATGGTGGATATCCGAAAGCAATAGCACCAAAACCATTGTAGTAAACTGTGTGTGCCTTTGACATCTACTCACAAATAGATTAATGAAATATGGATTGTCTCTACGTACTTTTAGCTAATTATAATAAATCATGCAAGTTACCAACATCACATATCCACTAGATTTTCTATAAGTACATAGCAACTATCTATAAATTAGGATTAATGGTCGGCCACCCGCGATCGACCAGGAAGGAATAATGCAAGTGTAGGCATTAGATGGACTTAAATAACCGGCAAGTTTTGCAATAGAAGGGAAAGAACGAGTAGGATGTATATGACATGAAAACGTCAGGTCATACTTTAGATTCTGTGAGGGGTCTCTTTCTGAATTTGTCCTGGATAACATTTGATTGCCAAGATAATTTAGATGGTTGGTGTTTGGCTGTTGTCATCTCATGCATGTTTGTCATTTCTTTGGATTAGGGGTCGAGTATGGCACGAGAACCACCAAAAGGTACCCTTTCAATCCACTGTAAAGTCTACATAAAGCTCATAGACGATGACTGGATCTCACGAGGACTGCAAATTGCCGTAAAGGTGTGGTCGGTGATCTGGATATAACACATAGCTTGTATTCGTTCCAATATGGCTTATGCAACAATTGGTTTCTCTATTCATAATGCCAAAAGACACCTCACAACTTCTTCAAAACCCACAATTTTGTGTTTTTTTTATGATGATGAAGTAAATTCGGCATATAAAAGTTTGTTTCAGATAGTCACTGTTGAGAACATATGAATCCTAAACATCCTGCCATGGTCTTCTTGACCTTCCCTCCATTCAACTTCCACTTCCTACCTGAACGTTCAAGAGTGGCAAATCTTGGAGGGGCCATTGATGCAAGCAAGCACTATCTGTCGTTCATTGTCTCTCCGACCTGGCATCCTTATCCATGAACAGATTAAAGGCAAAGACACCTCCGGCTGATGCAAAAGGAAAGAAGCAAGGAAAGAAATCGCCTTCAAACAGTAAGATGAACTGCAAAGCCTTGTGCGAGGCTCGACTCCAGTGGGAGGTGACTTGAATGTCTCGTAAAAGGGAATAAAAAAGGAAAGACTGACGTCGAACTGCGTCTTTCACTTATCCATGCAACTTTACACCACAAGTCTGTCACCAACCGACGTATAACATGGCGAACTGAGGTAAGCAACGACACATGCACGCAGATCCTTCGTCGTTGATGTGACGCCCTAGCAGCACGGAGCACTGCAAGAACTTTCTGCTAAGTGACACTTCCAAGAAAGAACAGATATATAGTTATACTTTCTTAAGAGGTTTTGATTCAACTTCACACGTCAATGTTAGGTGTTCAAGTGCACTTGAATTTGCAAAAAGCTAATCACAGATACATCTCGGAACTCTCTCGCTCTCTTATGAAAAAAATGTTGGAGAATAGTTTTTGAATTGGACAATCAGTAATTCCAAGGACTTAATCAGCATGAATTCAATCAACTGCATGATGCAAGACAAGCTAAGTGCCATGGTTGTGATATGTCATGTAAACCTTCGACCGGTGAGTCGGTTCGGTTGGTTTATTGTCGAAGTGAAGGTATATCCTGATGTCTTCTCCTTGCTGATGTGAGGGACTGAAGTGGCAAGCCGATATAGAAGGACTACTAGGGAGACGGTTCACTGAGGATGATCTAGCCTTAGAACAGAGAGGTCAGGTAGAGGAACGAGAGTCTTCCTTGCTGCGGGGTCATCTCTCATCTTCTGCCCGTCGGTGGTTCTGCACAATAGGTTTGCACTGGGGGTTTCCCAGCTCGACCCCTCTAAGGCTTAAGTTAGCATAAGGTAGAGGGGGAGAAAAACAACAGTATGAGTTGTATAAATGAGAGAGTATTGAGATTCTTGCTAGCTTTTTTCCCCTAAAGCTTAGCCTAGGACATAGTTTTTATACTAGGCCTCAAGCGGTCTGGACATATATTTAATTAAGGCCTCTAATATTCTAGGCACTCGTGAGGGTGACTTGCTGCCATCCATTAATGTAGAGGTATTAATGAGATGTCAGCTAGGAAGGTTAGGGCATGCTGTTATTAATGATCGCTAGTTTTCATTCTTTTATTATCTTTTAGTCCATGAAGGGAAGAGAGCTGGAGGGTACTAATATTATTCTTATCATTCTGGAAAATATTTTGAATTGGATAACATTATTATATATTTATAAGATTTATTAAATACAAAAAATCAATCATTTAAAAATAATGAAAAAAGAAAAATATTTTTTTTATTAAATTCTATTAGTTAATAACACCGGCTAAACCTATTAGTGAGAGGTAATTAATGGAGGTTTTAAGATGAGATCGGTGATTGAGTGCTGACAAAGGCACAAAGGTGATAAACAACCTACTTCAATAAGATGTCGAAGTTATCCACGTTGGAGACAATATACCTATAACGAAAGCTATCACATTGCTTTTCTGATCGTCGGGATGACACTTGACACTATCTTAGCTTTTAAGCTAAGAACATGTGGTCTCTATTTGCATTATAAGGATAAGTAACTTATCTTTGATAAGCTACGTGATAAGTGTAGAATAAATTAATTTTTTTATTAGATAAATAGGTAGTTTACAACTTGACAAGGGTTACATTATCGGTTAATCATTATCCAATTTGTCACCGTCACGTAGAGTCCAAGTAGCCTTCCATCCATCTGCTCACATGGAGTATTCTACCCTCATCCCCCATAGAATATTTTGTGAAATATTTTGCCCACTACGATTAGGTACAAAAATACATCTTTATCCCAAAGAAGGACTTACCTTTTTTACTACTTGCGTTCGCACTCTCAGACTTAAGATTACTAACTTAGATATCGGAGGGATCGGATCAGGAAATCTCTCCCAACCTCGATCTGCATGTAGGTGGGATCTCGAGAGCTCAATATTTCCACCTCGGGTAATCTTACACATACGGGTCTGGACTATGTCAGGCTGACTAAAACGTCAATGATATTTTCCTCTAGTATTTTGGTGCTAGGAGTGCTCGATGCTACAAAAATATCCACCTAACGACTATCTTAATAAACCCCCGAGCAAGGAGGCCCTACTTCGACCGATAGTACTTTCACTTAATAGGGGTAGCAGCCAATCTTT